GAACAATCGAAATGAGTTGAAGATCTCGTCAACACCTATCCATCGATATAAAGATAGTCGAGAACAGATACCATATGAGGGGGTTATGAATTTTTAACGGAATTTAATAATTTAAGCCTGTTAAAAATACAACTTTAAAAATAAAGTCAAAAATAGTTGACGGAGTCTAAATAAAAGTTGTAGATCTCGGTGATAGCTACGCGTGAATATAAAACCTGTCGAAAACGGAGCTTGTACAAAAAAGATATGAATTTTCTATGAAATCCCAAATTTTCGCGCGCATCCGCATGCATAGACAGTAGGCACGACGCACACTAACAGTCCACTAGATGCTCGATACGTAGCACCACACATCGATCGACATGTCACCCTAGCCGGCCATATGTGTGGCACGTAGGGGACATAGTGCAAGGCACGCTACTTATTTTAGCCTATATAAAGCCTCAAGTTCTAGTTATTTTTCAGAAGACAACTCCACCCGAATCCTCTAGAGCTCTTTCCACCCCTTAGTCTTGATATTCTCGAGTTCCAGAACCCTACAGTGAAGCCCTGCGGTGTCATCTAGTCAGCAAATAGAAGCTCCCAGATCAAAGTTTTGCTTACGTAATCCCCGATTTTCACCAAAATAATCTATAAGTTAAGCTACTCTTATTTGATGCAAGCGTAAATTATAATTATAGTCATAGTCGTTATTATGAACCTATAATTAAGATTTATCAATCATTCTAAGTCATTATACCGATTAATCTACTTACGAGGATGATGTTTAGGCTGGATTTAGTGAGATGTTTAAAGTGAGATTTCCAAACAGTATATTTTGTATACCAAAGGGACCCTACCTCTAATATGATCATACATTGTTGTTCCATACTTGATAGATCTTGATGTAGACATTAGGATTAGTGAGGAATCTAGACTATCCTTAGTCAACAGAAATGTAAGACTAAAACTTAGTGATATGAACTTAGGTTGCACTAGAGGAAAAGATAAAGTACGAAGGCGAAGTTCTGCCTAAATCAGGCATCCACTATTATCAAGTGAGTGCATAGTTAATTTCGTCTTACACATAGATATAAATTATTTAAACAATTGAATGTTTTATGTGCTTATGTGAGAGATGATCTATGTTAGATGAAATATTATATATATATATATATATATATATATATATATATATATATATATATATATATTATGAATATTATACATTATGTAGAGAAAGGTAATGAACAATGACATAGTACGACGAAAGATAAGATTCCCATATACAATGTCAAATGCAGAATGATACTAGCATGACAACGATGTACAAATAGTACTATTATGCCAATGACTATAGGAATGGTACTAGTGTACCAACGATGTAGTCACTTAGCAAAGTATATGTGATAACCATCAGACTAATTGATGTTAGTCCCATGGAATTCAGGCAGCGATGAACTTTGTGCCTATTTGATGAACATAGGTAGTGACGGACTTCGTGCCTATTTAACAATCCCGTGGAACTTAGGCAGCAATAGACTTCGTGTCTATTCCTTAGGACAAACCTTTAAGAATGAAAATAGAAACAAACCTACTAACATGTATTGCGGAGAAATCCATGTAACAATATTGTCAGCAACAATGAGTCAGATAACCTTTAGGATAGATCCTTAAGGAAGAATAAAGACGAAAAAAAGGGACGGGTAATCAGGTTAATAGTTTAATAATTAAACATATTAACAATATTATTGTGGGCTGAAAACCCTATGTACTCACTAGGTTTCTCAACCTGAACCACTCAGTCTCATTGAATCACACGAAGCAATACAAATATATTAATGTTTCGAACTGACGAGAGATCCAAGGAAATATAGGCGATAAAATATAAATAATGTAAGGATAACGTTTACGCTTGTGCTTTGTATCAGTTATGACATCCCAAAATTTTCAATAATCAATGAAAAACATTTCTTCAGAAATAGCCCTACGAGACCAAATTTCGCATTTATATATAAACTTTGTTCTACACAAGCATAAATAAATTTTTTTAAAAATACCGTAAAAATATGGGTTGTCACAAAAACTCTAGTCAAGAAACCATCAATAGCTGGATTAAGATAGAGAAATATGATGATGATTACAAGCTTGTGTTCTACCTGAAAGTATGCGACTTTTTCCGACCTATTTGTGGAAATATTGTTGTTGTGAATGCTAAAAATGAAAGTAGACGTGTGGCTATTAGTGAAGTGTCTTTTATGATTATGTTTAAGAAGGCATAAGTACTTTTTATTTACTTTTATTTATGTATTTATTTTGACAATAAATGGTTTTACTTTAATATACCTATTTATTTTTTTATTTTCACAATAAATGGTTTTACTTTGATATATTTGTCTTTGAATTCTAAGAATAAATGACCGTGAACCATTATATCATATAAAGAATTAATTAACATCTTTTTAGAGTGAATTGAAAACATTGTCTAATTGGATCACAAAATCATGCACTTTTTGTCCAAATTTTTTTCGATGGACACCATTGTCAAAAATATAACATTTTCTTTTTGTAATTTTGGTTCTTGTAAAATTTAAAAGACCTTAAAAAACTGATTTGCCCTTCTTATTTTATTTCCATGTTATTTTATATTTTAGTACCTAAAATAAAATAGAAAATGAAATGACATCCCATCCTTCCTTCCATCTCTTTATCTCTCTAAATCTCACCACCTCTCATTAATTCTCATTTTCAACAAAATATTCTAACATCGAAACAATGTTGGTATCATTTCTTGATGATGTTTAAGGGTATCCTCTAATGCCGATTTGAAAGATTTAATGATTTAGCATGTAACAAACTTTGGTGTATGTCCATATTTAGATAATCTTGTTAGGATGTATTAGATTTAAAACTATAGTTTTTATATTTTTAATTATGGTTTTGATTAATATATCAAATATGATTTTCTGATTTTTAAATAGTTTTTCTTAATATTTATTATTAATTTAATAATGATTTTTAATATATTTTGAAGAATGAACTTATAATATTAGATGGAATATATACACGAAAGTCCCAATGTTTTCATCAATTTGACAAAAAAGTCCTAAACTTTATTTTTTTGACATTAATATCCTAACTACTGACAGTTTTTGACACGTTTACCCATTTTTCCGGTCAGCCGGTAATTAGGACTTTAATGTCAAAAAAATAAAGTCTAGGAATTTCTTATCAAATCGTGAATTAAGACTCTACTGTCAAAAAAGTAAAGTTTAGGATTTTCATGTCAAATTATTCAAAATATTGGGACTTTAGTTATTTTCGTAGCCCAAGAAATTTTAATTGTGATCTTCTTCACAACACCATTTTTTTCCTTATCATGATCATCTTTATCCTGATACAATCACAATAAGGGGAAACAGATGCAAAAGAAAGAGCGAGATGAGGGACTTGTAAAACTTTATTCTTGGTTCACCGTCAAATCCTGAACTGATAAGTAGAGACATATTGTATAAACACAAACAACACACATCTAGCCAAACAGGTGTGAATGTGAAGAAGGGATAAGAAGGGCAGTTTTGTTTTGTTTTTTCTGGTTTGTTAGTTCTCCATTTTTAGGACTACAAAAATCCAACACAACCTTGGTTCTTACTTTCTTTCTTGATGATCTTCATTTTTTCATTGTCGCTTTGTTGAGATTACAAAAGTCCTAATTCACGATTTGACAAGAAAGTCTTAAACTTTGTTTTTTTGACAATAAAGTCTTAATTACCTGCTAACCAGAAAAAATATAATAAACTTGTCAAAAACTGCTTATAGTTAGGATTTTACTGTCAAAAAAATAAAGTTTAGGACTTTTGTTGTCAAATCGATGAAAATATTGGTCCTTTAGTGTATATATCCCATTTTAGATATATTTGCATCTTAAAAAATGTTTTAGATTGGTATCAAGTAAAAATAGTAAATTTATAACTTTGAAGTAAAACGATGTATAAATCTTGGGTAAATGGCACAAAAAACACTCTTTTTACACAGAAATTCGATTTTGACACTGTGTTTTTTTTTGTATCAATTTTGACACTCTGTTATTAATTTTTTACTAAATGTAACCATATGACCTACTAAAGTCGGTTAACCGGTTACCTGCCCCTAATACGTCTTCGTGGCATCGTCCATGTCACCCCTTTTCCCCTAACTTAACATGTCATCCCCCTCATCCCCTCATTTATTATCCTACGCAAAAAAGGAGAAAAAAGTTTCTACCCTCATTAACTAGGGTTTCTACCGTCTGTAAGTTCGAAGAAAGGTGAAAGCTTACCATAAGGAACCCACGACGTAAGATAAGGAGAGCACAACCGTTCGATGAAATGGAAAAGGGACCATACTACGACTCTGATTTTGAAGAAAGTGAATTAGAGTCGGAATCGGAGAGTGAATCAGAAAGGGCATTTGTTGTCGATGCAGAATTGGGTGACTATGATGCAAATGAACACATCGCTTTTCCATAGTTCAAGGTACCTTTTGATGCCTTTCTTTATGATTTCTGCAATGTTCCTGTTTACAATAAGAGGTAAAATGTTGATGATGAAGTCATTAGAGAAGAAGGTCATTCTGATAATGAAATTGAAGATGACGAGGATAAGATTGATCAAAAACCAACCAAATATAGTGTTCATGACCCTTCTGTTCACTGGAATAAAATGAAACCACATTTTGGTGAAAAGTATGCTAATCAAACTGAGTTAAGGTTCTGCCTGACTAACTATGCAGTTCACAATGGTTATCCAATTAAGGTCACCAAATCTTCTAGTACAAGGCTTCAAGCAAAATGTGGTTTAGACAATAAAGGCAAGAGATGTACCTTCAAGCTGTGGGCATCCTGGATGAACAAAGAGAAATCATTTCAAATTAAAGGACTTAATAGTAAGCGTACTTGTGTTAGGGAGTACAACCATGCCACATTGGTTAATCCTGACTGGATAGCCAAATAGTTCTTGAAAAAATTGTGTGTTAGACCAAAAATGAAAGCCAGGGAGATGAAAGAAGAAATTAAGAAGAAATTTTTATGCATTGTGTCTAAGGGACAATGCTATAGGGCTAATAGGAAAGCACAAGAGATTTTAACTGGAAAGTTATCAGAGCATTATGCTCGTATATGGGAATATGGAGGAGAGATCATCAGATCAAACCCTAGTAGTACAACAAAGGTTGGATTTGATATCAAAGAAGATGGTAGCAGTGTTTTTAAAAGATTCTATGTATGTTTTAAGGCTATAAAGGATGGGTGGATTAGGGGTTGCAGGAGAGTCATTGGACTAGATGGTTGTTTTCTAAAAGGGCAATGCAAAGGGGAGTTACTCACTGCAATAGGTAGGGATGGGAACAACCAGGTATATCCAATAGCCTGGTTTGTGGTTGATGTTGAAAAAAAGGACAACTGGGAGTGGTTTATTAAGTTGCTTGTGAAAGACCTTGGCTTAGAGTTAGGTGAAGGGTTGACAATTATTTCTGATCAACATAAGGTATGCTTACTCATTTTTGTTTGTTTACTCTTTTATATATGGTTAGTCTTTTTTGTATCTTAATTGTTTTTTGTATGAATGTAGGGCTTAGTAGAGGCTGTAAAGGAGAATTTAGCATTAGTTGAGCATAGGCAGTGTGCCAGACATGTGTATGTCAACTTTAAAAAGGTGTACAATGGGATTGATTACAAGAGACATTTTTGGGCAGCTTCAATGTCAACCACAGAGTCATCTTTTCTTGAGACAATGGAGGAACTCAAAGATATGAATGGGGGTGCTTATGACAATCTCATGGAAAGGAACCCAAGGAGTTGGAGCAGAGCATTTTATAAGGAAGGTAGAGCATGTGAAGCAGTAGAAAATGGTATATCAGAGAGCTTCAATTCAGTAATTTTGGAGGCAAGGACTAAGCCACTACTTACTATATTGGAGGAGCTCATAATGTATGTTATGGAGAGGTTTTATAGGATGTCTACAATACACTTAACATGGATGGGAGATGTATGCCCTACAATATTGACAAAGCTGGATGATTGGTGTACAGATATGAGGTAACATTATTGACTAAAATTATTCAGTATTCATTAAGATTATTCACTAACATGTATTGCATGAATTACAGGTTGTGGAGTGTTGTAGCTAGTGACACAAATGTATTTGAAGTAAGACTAGGATTTGAGTCTTTTCAGGTGGACTTAGGAGAACAATTCTGCACTTGTAGATTATGGGAAATATCTGGGATTCCATGTATCCATGCATGTGCAGCTATGAACCACACACAACAACAACCTAAAACATTGATCAGCTCATGGTTTTCCAAAGAAAAGTTTGCAAAGACTTATAAAGGAAATATCAAGCCTCTAAATGGTAGTAGAATGTGAGCCAGGACACCATATGCCAAGCCACTGCCACCACCTGCAGGGAGGATGCCAGGAAGACCTAAAACCAGAAGAAGGAAACATGTCACAGAGAAGGATGGAGAGTACAGGAAGTTAAAGTCTGTTGGAGGTACAAAGATATGCCAGAACTATTGGGAGGAAGGGCATAACAAAAGAACCTGCAAGAATCCAACTAAGCCCCAACCTCAACAGGAAAAGAAAAGAAAGGGTAGGCCAGTGACTAGGGATGTGGCAATGAAAAAAACAATAGCATCCACAAGTCAAAAGATTCAACACACTCAGGAAATGGATGGGCAAATGGATGGACAGGCAAGGTGTAACAGTAAAAAAAAAAGGTAAGCTTTATGGTTTTCAAAGTCAAATCTTTAGTGTCTACTATTGTTAACACAATTACTGTTTTATTAATAGGGTAAAGCAAAGGCATCTCAATCTGTTAAAGGGATACATGAAGGTAGTAGCAAGTATTTTGAAGATGAAGGGCTGCAAGATGTTATGTTGGTATAGGATTTGAAGGTGGATGCACATGCTACAGAGTTTCTTGCATCAGGATACTCAAAGGATGAGGTGTATCATCTACTATATGAACAAGATTTAGATGTTGAAGTTTTGGCTGAAGTTCCACCTGTTCTTGAAACTATGCATGAAGAAGTTCCACATGTTGAAGTTTTGGCTGAAGTTGACATTGTACCAGAAACAGAGGATGAAGGCATTGTTGAGACACCACCATCCCAAAGGTTAATGAGAACAAGGAGGCCTTCAGAGAGAATTACTAAAATTCAGACTGGAATGAAGGTTGTTGGAAAGAAGGTTGTTGGACCAGGTCGAAGTAGGTTGGACCCTGTTTCTTTGGAGTAGATTAGGGTGCAGAAGGTTAGGGGTTGATGGGCTTGGTTTGTGTTATCCTTTTTTGTATTATGTAATGGACCCTTAAGTAATCCACTTGACTGTAATTATCTTTTGTATATGGTATACCCAAACATTACTACCCCTTTTGTAAATGGGATGGGTATATATTGCCAAAATGATCAATTATCTTTTGTAAATGTTATCCTTGTTATGGTGTTTTGTGTTACATAAGTAAAGGGTATTGTTGGTATAGTGTTTATGGTCAAGCATTATTATCTTTTATAATCCCAACTGTTACATAAGGTAAGGGTATTTAGGTCCTTTCTTTTTTGTTTACTGGTTTGTTCAATAAGTAAAGGGTAGTTTGGTCCACTTCGAACATATACGATCATACTTCCATAAGTAAAGGGTATTTAGGTCCTTTCTTTTTTGCTTACTATTTTGTTCAATAAGTAAAGGGTAGTTTGGTCCACTTCTAACATATACCATCATACTTCCATAAGTAAAGGGTATTTAGGTCCACTTCCAACATATACCATCCTTTCTTTTTTGCTTACTGGTTTGTTCGATAAGTAAAGGGTAGGTTGGTCCACTTCCAACATATACCATCCTTTCTTTTTTGCTTATTGGTTTATTCAATAAGTAAAGGGTAGTTTGGTCCACTTCCAACATATACCATCATAATTCCATAAGTAAAGGGTAGTTTGGTTCACTAGCATCAGACTTCCAATTCACAATTACAAACATATACACTTCACCATATATATCAATATTGGTCAACAATGGAACATACAAACTTAAAGGTAGTACATCAATACATCCAGACACAAAAATGGTCAATATTGGACCTTAATTGGCATTAATTCATACCGAAAGACCTACCACAACCTCTTCCTACTTAACCCTTGTACACCATCCACATTAAAATCCCTACCATGACCACCAAAATAACAAGCAAACCAATCACAACCCTAACAAGATCCGTCAAACTTATTTCATCATGATGAGGGTTCCCTTTTCCCTGTCCAGTGCTTTTTTTCTTCTTTTCCATAACTTCAAACAGAAGTTCCTTATACCATGGACTTACTTCATCGTCATACCATTCAAAGTAGCCACAGTCTTCAACTTCATCGGGCCAGTACCTGCACCCAAAGTATCTTCTTCCAGGATTCTTCTCACTCGTTGATATCTTCAAGGGGGAAATTACTCCACAGTAACACGTCCTAGAGGGACCATTGTTTGACTTGTTTACCCCACTTGTTGATCCAGCTGATCGAGACGAAGACACCATTGCACAATCCTCATGAATAACTGAGATGAAAAAGTGAAGATCGATCTAGGGTTCTAAAGGGTTGAAGCCGTTAGGGATCATTTATAAAGGCTCAACTGCCATGTAGGATCTTACGTGTATGCCACATAAGCAAATGGCCCACTCAGCAATATTCAATCCGGTTTACCTGAAGGCAACCAGTCATATGGTTACATTTAGTAAAAAATTAATAACAGAGTGTCAAAATTGACACAAAAAAAACACAGTGTCAAAATCGAATTTCGGTGTAAAAAGAGTGTCTTTTGTGATATTTACCCATAAATCTTTAATTAAAATTTCAAGTAGTTAAAAATATCAGTCTATAATCAGTTTTAATTCTGAAATATGTGACTTCTGTTTAATGTTTGGTATACATCATGTGTATTATTTTAATTATATTTGGAATGATGTGTATTTATTTTCTATTAGGATGTATCTTATACGCAAGTGACCTAAATTATTGATTTTCAAATTTATATATAACAAGCATTAATGGAAAATAATGACATGAACTAAGATATATAGCAGCTGGTAAAAGTCTATAATTTGTTTAGTGATTAATAATTAATCTTCACATGGGACAATTACAAAAGAATCACACAAGAGAAAACTCATCGTCAGCCAACTAATGAGAACTAATCACCCAAAATGAAACTATTCTTCAAATTTATGATATTGCTTTTGTTGGTTTTTCTTTAACCTAACCAATAAAATGGTAAGCATTGAAAAATTATCAAAGAATCACATAAGAGGAAACTAATCTTCGAACTAATCGCCGAAAATGAAACTATTCTAATAATTTATGATATTGGTTTTGTTGGTTTCTTTATTTTACCTGACCAACAAAATGGTATATGCTAAAAAAAATACAACACTAAATACCTATCAAAGATAGGTTTACATAACACAACTACATCTATATAACATAAAAACTTGATCTATATAACATAAAAAACTATAATATCGTAAATGTATATTCTGTATTTCTAATATGACGTGTCTCTTTGTAAGTAATTATTTTTTTTGTCAACAAAAGAAAAATATTTAATGTCTGCGATATTGTGTGGGTAGTAAAATCTTGTGCGAAGGAAACCACATTGTCATATCTATCTAAGATTATTTGAACTTTTTTATTTTTAACCAGAAATAACATACCGAAAGAAAACTAATCGCCACTCGAAACCAATTTCCGAAATAAATATTTATCGTCGTTGCATCACATGAGCATCTTACTCGCGTGCGCGTGTGTCTGTGTGTGTGTGTGTGTGTGTGTGTATATATATATATATATATATATATATATATATATATATATATATATATATATATATATATACATAGGTTTAATTATATGATTTGCACCATGGACCCTCACATCAAACCGTTTTGACCATAATGCATTTATACAACTCAATTGGCTATCTGTTACCTCGTTAAATAGTATTTAATATATTTGGAACATCAATTCCTACCGTTATTAAAATTGGATTGTCTGACTTGTCTAAGCAGTTACGTGTAGCCTACAACCATTCCCAAAATGCATACCGATGTAATCCCCATTATAAATACGTGTTATCTCCATCAAACTTAAAACACACCTCAAATTTATCAACAAGTCTATATAAAAACAACTAACCAAGATGAAAACATTGTTACTACGTATGTTCTCCGCAATCCCCATTTCAATATGCCAACCATCTCCAACTCAAGTTCGAGACCTTGATGGGAACTTGGTGCGTTCTGGTACAAAGTACTACATCTTGCCTGTGATCCGAGGAATGGGTGGCGGTGTTACACTTGCCTCCACGAGAAATGAGTCATGCCCACTTGACATTGTCCAAGCCAATCAAGAAGTAGATAATGGCATGCAACTGACATTTACACCGGTAAACCCTAAGAAAGGTGTCATCCGGGAATCAACTGATCTCAACATTATATTCTCGGGTGCATCTACCTGCCTTCAGTCGAAAGTTTGGATGCTCGAGGAGTACGATGGACAACTTATCACAACTGGTCATGGAGTAGCAGGAAACCCTAGTCAAGAAACCATCAATAACTGGTTTAAGATAGAAAAGTATGAGGATGGTTACAAGCTTGTGTTCTGCTCGAAAGTATGTGACCTTTGCAGGCCTATTTGTGGAAATATTGGTGTTGTGATTGCTAAAAATGGAAGTAGACGTCTGGCTGTTAATGAAGTGCCTTTTAAGATTATGTTTAAGAAGGCATAATTATTTTATATCTTTGTTTTCTTTATTTTTATTTTCACAAGAACCGCTTTTATTTTAATATACATGTATTTTGAATAGAAATAAATAACCATGGGCCATTATATCAAATAAAGATTTAATTGATATTTATTACAGTGAATTGAAAACATTGTCTAATTGGATCACAAAATGGTGCACTTTCTGTCCAATTTTTTTTTCGAAGCCCAATGTTTTCCAATATATATATATATATATATATATATGTGTGTGTGTGTGTGTGTGTGTGTGTGTGTAATTTAGGTTCCTGAAAAATTTAACAGACCCTAACACCTCATTTTCCCTTCTTACTTTATTTTCATTTTACTTAATATTTCAGCACCTAAAAGAAAATAGAAAAAGAAAATAACTTCCCACCCCCTTTCCTCCATGTATTTATCTCTCTAAACGCCACCACCTCCTCATCAATTTTTCATTTTCATCAAAATGTTTTAACATTTAAACAATGTTGGTATCATTTCTTATGGATCTTTAAAGGTCTCCTCAAATATTAATTTGAAAGGTTTAATGATTTAGGAGTATAACAAACTTTAGTGTATACCAATATTTATGTAATCATGTTAGGAAAAATTAATTTAAAACTATGATTTTTATATTACAAATTATGGTTTCTGTTAATATATCAAACTATGGTATTCTTATTTTTAAATAGTTTCCCTTAATATTTATTGTTATTTTAATAATGTTTATAACATATTTAACAAAACAAAAACTAGATTTAATTCAAACCTGAAGTGATTAAAACCCAAGTCAAGGTACACTTTAATAATTTAATAAGAAAACATGAAATATTGAAGAATGAACTTATAATATTAGATGTATTTTTCAACATAAAAAATGTTTTAAGTTGGTTTTGAGTAAAATTGTAAATGGATAACTTTGAAGTTAAATGATGTACAAAATATTTTATTAAAATCACAAGTAGCTGAAAATACTAGTCTGTAATGAATGTTAATTCTTAAATATGTGATTTCCATTTTATATTTGAATATACCATGTGTATTTATTTTATTTTATATTTTGTATAACATTTATTTATTTTATATTATGACGCCTCTTATACAAAAGTAACTTAAATTATTAATTTTCAATATATATATATATATATATATATATATATATATATATATATATATATATAACATTAATGGAAAATAATGATATTAACTAAGAAATATAGCAAATTCGTGAAAATCTATAATTTGTATAACGATTTAGTAATTAATAGAAATTAATAGTGATATGGGACAATTACAACATAATCCCACGAGAGGATTCTAATCGTCAGTCCCCTAACAAGTACTAATCACCAAAAATAAAAATATTCTTAAAATTTTTTATATCGGTTTTGTTGGTTTATTCTTTTACCTAACCAATAAAATGATATACGTTAAAAAAATATCATAGAATCACACGAGAGGAAACTACTCGTTGGCCGCCTAACGAGAACTAATCGCCAAAAATGAAACTATTCTAAAATTTTATGATATTAGTTTTGCTGGGTTTTTTTTTTATTTTACCTAATCAATGAAATGGTATACGTCAAAAAAATATAATACTAAATACCTATAAAAGATAGATTTGCCTGAAACAGTTAGATGTATGTAACATAAAAAAAGATAAGATTATAAATGTATATTCAATGTCTCTTTTTAAGTAAATTATTTGATGGTCAACAAAAGAAAAATATTCAACAAAAGAAATTTTTTCATTGTGTGTGACATTACATGGGCACTAATCGTGTGCGAAATAAACCTCATGGTTATATCTATTTAATATTAGTTGCAACTTTTTTATTTTTACCTAGAAATAACATACCAAAAGAATACTAATTGCCATTCGAAACTAATTTCCAAAAGAAATATTTGTCGTTGTTGGATTGCATGGGTATCTCACTGGTGTGTACGTGTGTGTGTGTGTGTGTGTATATATATATATATATATAGAGAGAGAGAGAGAGAGTGTGTGTGTGTGTGTGAGGTTTTATTATATGATTTGCACCATGGACCCTCACATTAAAACGTTTTGACAATAGTGCATCTATACATCCCAATTGGCTTTCTGTTACCTTGTTAAATTGTATTTAATATATTTGGAACATTAACTCCTAGCTTAATGAGATTGGATTGTCTGACTTGTCTAAGCAGTTACGTGTAGCCTACAACCATTCCCAAATGTATACCGATTTGTTCCCCATTATAAATACGTGTTATATCCATCAAACTTAAACCACACCTCAAATTTAGCAATAAGTGTATATAAAAAAAACTTAAAACCAAGATGAAAACATTGTTACTACTTATGTTCTCCGCAATCCCCATTTCAATATGCCAACCATCTCCAACTCAAGTTCGAGACCTTGATGGGAACTTGGTGCGTTCTGGTACAAAGTACTACATCTTGCCTGTGATCCGAGGAATGGGTGGCGGTGTTACACTTGCCTCCACGAGAAATGAGTCATGCCCACTTGACATTGTCCAAGCCAATCAAGAAGTAGATAATGGCATGCCACTGACATTTACACCGGTAAACCCTAAGAAAGGTTTCATCTGGGAATCAACAGATCTCAACATTATATTCTCGAGTGCATCTACCTGCCTTCAGTCGAATGTTTGGATGCTCGAGGAGTACGATGGACAACTTATCACAACTGGTCATGGAGTAGCAGGAAACCCTAGTCAGGAAACCATCAATAACTAGTTTAATATAGAAAAGTATGAGGATGGTTAGAAGCTTGTGTTCTGCCCGAAAGTATGTGACCTTTGCAGGCCTATTTGTGGAAATATTGGTGTTGTGATTGCTAAAAATGGAAGTAGACGTCTGGCTGTTAATGAAGTGCCTTTTAAGATTATGTTTAAGAAGGCATAATTATTTTATATCTTTGTTTTCTTTATTTTTATTTTCACAAGAACCGCTTTTATTTTAATATACATGTATTTTAAATAGAAATAAATAACCATGGGCCATTATATCAAATAAAGATTTAATTGACATTTATTATAGTGAATTGAAAACATTGTCTAATTGGATCACAAAATGGTGCACTTTCTGTCCAATTTTTTTTCGAAGCCCAACGTTTTCCAATATATATATATATATATATATATATATATATATATATATATATATATATATATATATATATATATATATTGTCAAATTTAGATTCCTAAAATTTAACAAAAATTTAACAGACCCTAACACCTGATTTTCCCTTCTTATTTTATTTTCATTTTACTTAATATTTCAGCAGCTAAAAGAAAATAGAAAAACAAAATAATATCCCATCCCCTTTCCTCCATCTCTTTATCTATCTAAACGTCACCACCTCCTCATCAATTTTTGATTTTCATCAATATGTTTTAATATTCAAACAATGCTGGTATCGTTTCTTATTGATCTTTAAAGGTCGCCTCTAATATTAATTTGAAAAGTTTAATGATTTAAGAGTGTAACAGACTTTGGTATATGCCAATATTTATGTACTCACGTTACGAAATATTAATTTAAAACTATGATTTTTATATTGCAAATTACGGTTTTTTTAATACATCAACTATGATATTCTGATTTTTTAACAGTTTCTCCTAATATTTATTGTTATTTTAATAATGTTTATAACATATTTAACTAAAGAAAAAATAGAGATAATTCAAACCTGAAGTGGTTAAAACGAAAGTCAAGGTGCACTTGAATAATTTAATAAGAAAACATGAAATTTTTGAAGAATGAACTTATTATGTTAGATGTATTTTTCAACTTAAAAAATGTTTTAAGTTGGTTTAGAGTAAAATTATAAATAGATAACTTTGAAGTTAAATGATGTACAAAATATTCTATTAAAATCTCAAGTAGTTGAAAATATTAATCTGTAATTAATGTTAATTCTTAGGGGATGTTTAGTTTAGCTTTTTACAGCCCAAAAATCCTTTTTTGGAAAAGTCATAAAAAGTCAGGTTTTCCCGACTTTTCTAAAAAGTTCATTTTCTTTGTATCAAAACTCAAAAAATAGCTTTTAAAACTAGTTTTGCCAAACATTTTTCGTTTTTTTTCTTTTCCAAAAAGGACTTTCGGCTGTGAAAAACTAAGCCAAACACCCCCTTAAATTGTGATTTCCATTTTATATTTGGCATATACCATGTTTATTTATTTTATTTTATATTTGGTATAACATATATTTGTTTTATATTATGATGTGTCTTATACATAAGTGACTTAAATTATTAATTTTCAATATATATAGCGATTTGTTTTATTCTGATTATTAATTTCCATCCATCGATTTCTTTCGCTGAATAAAAGTATTTTTTTATTTGGGTTAAAAATAAAAGTATTTTGTTATTTTGTTTTAAATGTACATGGTTTTTAGTTAAAAGGAAAATATATTAATTATTTGGTTTAAAAATAAATGTATATTAGTTATGATTAAAAAAAATACTAACTATTGAACAAAAAATAAGGTATCGGGTCATTTTTGTTTCACCATGCAACATAAACTAATAATGTTATATACATATACGCACGAGATACAATTTTTCACAAAATCTAAAAACCTTCTTAATTGCATCATCATGAGTTGTCTTGTGACTTTGACTCATCAACTGAATCATGTTTAGCAGCAAAATATAACTAGATCATTAACCCAAATCTAGAAGAGAAAAAAAATCATTGCTTTAGAACTTCAATATTAAAAGATTACAAAAACACATCAAAGCCAAATTCACTTTAGGTTTCTCCACTCCCGTATCATCATTATCAGATACATCAAATTCAATCCCCTATCACCAAGATCAACAAACATTTTTACATTTTTTTCATTCGGACCTTTGAAACGTTTCAAATACCATGATTTGAATTAAAATAAATAGTGGAAACCCTAATTATTTCCCTAAAAAAAGTTTATAGGTTTGATTTGTTAAATGAAGATATAACCAACACAAAATGAAAACAAAATTAGAAATATGGGAATCAAATCCGATACCAAAATAGCACATATATGACCTTCAACCCAAAATGTTTAAATGTAAGAGATTTGTACCTTGCCCAAATTTTACAAATCATAACCAACACAATGTTGAAAATTCTCAAATTTTATTCGGCGAACCTGCACCCGTCATCTGATCGGGTTCTGAATTTTTTGGGTGCTAGAAGGATGCTACTTCTTTCGATCAAAATGTATGCACCAAAATTAACATTCAAACACTATAAAAATTGAAACCACATGGAAAATAATAACAACATACTTTCATTAATTTGTAAAGCATGTTTCTATTTCTTGGATTTAATCCAAAAAAATCCCAAATTAGAACATCTACACAGTTACAACCACGTTTGTAATTTTCATTGCTATATTCAAGTAGACATTTCCAAAGTACGATGGCTTAATAAAAAAACAAAACTAGACTATTAGTGTTCATAAATTATCAAAATTTTATTTTAGATCCATAAGTCGGTTGTTATTTCATATTAAATGCCTTAATAAAAATGATTTGAATGCTTTAATATAAATAAGTGAAACATGGAACAAAAAATTCAGAGCTTTTAACCATGCTACATTCAACTTCTACGAACAAAATCCAACATATCATTATTAAAGAAACATCAAACTGGTTCAAAATCATTATATTGTGAGAAATAAAAAGGTATACCTTTCTATTTAACTGGCCACCACCAAACCTGTTGTAATTAAATCTGGTGTAAGATCTAAAAAAAAAGCAATGTTGTGAGTTAATCTTAGATAACAAAAAGACCAAATCTGTTTTGAGAATATATGAAATAACAAAGAACCCAACTTCGATATCTCAAAATAAGTAAAGATATTTCCCATGCATCAACCATGTTCAGCTCACTAAAGTGTGTATGTGTGAATCTGTATGTGTGTGGTAATGTATGTATTTGTGTAAAGAAAATAAGGGGATGGTAAGCCATGTAAAAAGTGGAAGTTACAAGTTTTTCATTTGACCTTTATTTTCTTCTTCTTCATCCAATAAATGTTGATCGTTTTAATAAACATTTAAAAAAATGGAAACTCAAGTTTTTCATTTGAGCGATATAGATAGTGGTGCACACACATATACATATAAAGATAAACACAAATATTTTCCAGCACCCTAAAAATAGAATTCAAAGTAGTTGACATTGGTTGCCAAGATTACATAGCAGCATTTTGTGTCTCGGTTGCCTCTAACTATGACCATAGATATATTTGTCGGCGCCTTGGCCAACAGATCCTATACACATACACAAAAATTAAATAAAAAATAAGGGTTTAAATTCATATATTTTAATTGATTATGTGTAATTTAATATATGCCATGGTTGTAAATTTTACCCAAAAGAACACCAGTTCCTCTCATAGTTTTTTCGCTACTTGCAAATCACAAAACAAACAACAAAAATTCCATGGACTTTGATTTGAAACCCATATAGATGAAAAGATTGAAAATAAAATAACCTTTCAACTCATTTCACAGACCCGTCTCCTCCAGATATATCTTCACCCATCTTTGACCGCAAAAACATAAAAAGAAATCAAAATCAAACCTCTGATGGTTAGGCTTCAGGGTCGCCAAGTTTCTTTTCCGTCCTCTGTCTACGATTCTACACAAATGAAAAAGAAGCTATATATATATATATATATATATATATATATATATATATATATATATATATATATATTAAAGAAATGAATCTTAGGAATAGTAAACTTACCATTTTTTTTGGTAGAATTGGTCCATGTACTATTGTTAGGCTTCAAAGATAGGAATAGTAAATTTAGATGTTTTTTAGCAATTTTGTTCCTCATTCTTTGGCCATTTTGACACTTTTGGTCATTACAATCAATATTTTTATACTTTTTAGGACCTTTTAATATTTAAAGTTTGATCACAAAACCTTAATGGTTTGATAACTTTGATCCCTTTTCGACAAAATTGCTAATTCCTACCCTTATAATTCTTTAGCCATTTTGACACTTTTTACATTTTTTCATAAAAACATGAAAAAAAACGCTCTAGGGCAAAGCCCGGGCTTTTCATCCTTGCACTTTCTACGTCTATCATATTTATCGATTCGGAAACAACATTGAAAGCTTCTGGCCCCCACGTAGCGGGGGTAACCTTTCTAGTTATTATTATTATTATTATTATTATTATTATTATTATTATTATTTTATCTTTTTTCTTGTTCAGAGTTGTGGATTAAGGAAGCTTAAAATGCGAACCTATTTGATTTGAATGTTAGAGACGCCAATCCCCTGTTCGATTTCAATTTTAGAAACATCAAAATACCCTGGAGAAACACAAAATACATTCAATTGACATGAACCAAATAAGAAAAACGTAAAAACCCTAAACTGGCTTTGTCTTCATTGAGGAAGAAAAACAAAAAAAAAATAGATATATAACTTACACGTGTAGATCGACTGGGGAAGATATTTAATCGTGAGATGATGTATTCTAAGCAATGGCAATGAAATTTTTGTCTTTCCCATGTATCTTTCCCGTTTCTATAGTAGAGAAAGAAATCGTCAAATAAATGGTGTGTGGTTGATAAGTTACCTATATGTAGAAGAAGAAATAGGGGGAGACGTAATGGAAGCGAAAACAGCGACATCGATGGATGGTGGTGGCTGTTGAAGGTGGTGGTCATGTGGAAGCGGAGAAGACGGTAGTGGTGGAGCATGTGGTAAGTGACGAAGT